CTTTATCATCAAAACGCTTCAGACTCAGATTGCAAACTGCTTCGGAGAAACGTGAAGTTCGATTAATTCGCTTGATAAAAGTGAAATGTTTCCTATACACTCTGTCTTTAGCACACTAAATTTGAGATGATAAGGTAAAAATTTGAGTACAAGTCGAACAGAGTTCATAATAATTGCACAAGATTGATGGACCGATGAAAATCAGGAAATTAAATATGAATAACGTAGGAAACTCGAGGCTTTTTATAGTGCTGCAATCTAAATTAAATGCGATCTTGCCCTTTAGTGAAATGTGTTAAAACATCTGATTGTTCGCATATAAAGTTATTATTTCGAACTCATACAGCTTAAGCTTTTTATATTAGTTGTCATTTGATTACGCGTTATGACAGTATCCGTCCTCATGCAACTTAGTGCCTGGTGATAAGTCCGTAAAGTCGTAAAGATAAAAGTTTTCTTAACTCCCGCCCTAACACTGGCAACATTGATTTTCGTAAAAATTTTATTCTGTACTAAATTTCAAGAGAATCTTTTTGCTAATCATTCAGCCTTTTATATTACAGGATGAGAACAATCATATTGCTTGTGGGTTTGGCCGCTCTTACTTTCTCGGATCTTATTCCCACTTACGATTTATCCCAGGATGCGATTGATTATATATCGTATCGCTCAAAACCTGCACCACCGAGCCAGGTAGTGCTTCGTACAAATTAGGCATGATCACAGCCTTTAATAAAATTTCCTAGTTTAGCTCTTTCATTATACTCTTAACTTTATTAGTTAACATATACACTATCTTCAGTAAAAATACTATTTATAGAAGTCAATAATTTCAGGCAGCGATATCCAGGTGTGAAACAATTCCGTGGAATGGATGTCAAGTAAGGATTTTCTTGTCCTTAAAAAACAATCCCTTCTTTCAGACTTTGCTCAATTATCAATAGAATCTTTCAATAATACCTAATTCCCTACTCCAAACTGGAATAACTCTATAGCCCACACTAAAATTTCAAAACTGATATTTCTTTCAACATTATTTGATTTTTATTGTTCCGTTGAGCATGTGGTAGCGGAACGATATGTTTAGGCTCAATTCAATGAAATCCTTGGCTTGGATCCCGTACTTTTTTGGAGGAATGGAACGCTTATTAATACACAAATAAATCAACTATTGCAGACCAACACCACGGAATTAGTGAAAGTTTGCAAGTGCGTCGGATTTCAACAATTTTATTCATTTCTTTAGTTTTAAAAATCTTGTTTAAAGTCTCTCTAGCTTTTTCTTTGCTGAAGAAAGAGTTTGAAGTCTACAGAGTAGTGAATCCCAGACTGAACAAAAGAAAACACCCTATAGAAAGTTTAAGAAAAAATATGGAATCGCACTTTAACCATTCGCCACAATGGAGATCCAACACTTTATAACTCCAATTTTGCATTATAACTTAAACTGTTCTAGGTTTAATAAGTAAAAATCAACTTTAAGCCACTGTATAGAACCTTCACACTCTGTTAATTCAGTGCTCGTACACAGTTCTACCAATGCCTCGGTACGTCGTACTATGCTTGCATGAATCTTTTCAACATCCTCGATACCTCCGATCCCGATTTTATAAATGGTTAGTCGGTAATAGCTTTTAGTACAACCTGCATTCATATGACCTACAGAAGTTTCCATGCAATTTAGCTTTTGACTATACTCGCACATACATGGGGTTGGAGTTCATGTGTAATGCCGGATTTGAAGGTTAGTGATTTGATCGCTGTCTAAATTTAAGGGGAGCACCATATTGACTGTGCTATTTTTTGTAGACTGTCCCTTCAAGAATTCTTACATGTTTCGATTATAATCAAATACCAGTTTTTAGAAGTAGTTACTCAGTGGTCATGCCTTCATGGCATCCAAACAACATCAGCCTATAATACCTGCATGAACAACTTCACTTACAACACAGTACCGACGAATTTCTGCAGGTAGACTAAGCCATCTGTCCATATTTAGCTCGCTAGATATATTATAGACAATAGATATTTATTGATCTAAGACAGCTCGTCGGTTGCAAAATGAATAGTGCAAAAATAAACCTTCTCGTAATTCACTGCTAACTGTGCATTTACATCACAAATATTTCAGCATGGTAGACACAACCGGAAAGTGCCTGAACAACGTTTATCTAAACGCCTGCAAGGATAATGGGGTAAGACTGAAGATTACATTTAAAATTGAGAAAAAAAATTGTGTTTCTCAAGTCTGGGGAAGAAATTTGAAAGCCAAGCTTGTCGAATAAGTTTT